AACGCCGCCGGTCGCGGTGGTGTTTCCCAGTGTGTGTGTGTGTGTGTGTGTGTGTTGAGCAGGGTATTGGTCTTGGGATGTCTTGGGTAGCTCATGGTAGGACCTCCCAATCATCCACATTCTTCGCATGAACCGGTTCGAACCTGAGGTGCTGAATCCGATGTTCATGACGCGGTGGGTCCAACATACGTTGTAAATAGAGAGAGAGAGAGAGTAGAATGAGTAGAGAGTCCTACTCAGGTTGCCATTGGCGTGACTGGCATTGATGGCAAGGAACAAGACCGGTCTAGAGCATGCGGACCACGCAGAAGACCGGCGGCCGTCGCTGACTCGCACACTGAAGACATAGAAGGTTCCCAATTCCAGACCTTCGTCCTCTCCAATCAGGACTTTGCGTCTCTCCGTTCCGTCCATTCCGGTGAAGTGTCTTCGATCGCTGCTGCTTGCGATGTGATGATCCAGAACACACCACTCACCCAAACTGGAGAAGCTGCAGCCTGGCTCGTCCGCTTGGCTCACTTGTACAGCTTGAAACCGCCACTGAGCCATGATCGAGCTCTTTTCGCCGCTGGGACGGTGCTGAAAGGAGGCCTCCACCTGAACGGCTGAGACCGTGCAAAGCACTTGGCAAACGGCGACTTCAGCTGTGTCGACCAAGCTCAAGCAGGCCTCGCTGCATGGCCCGGCCACGCATCGATCGCAGGAATACCAGCGAAGACGAAGTGAGGTGAAGGGTAGCTGCGAAGCTGCAATGCACGGAAGACCATGCCTCGTGCACTGCACCGGGTGTTTCGTCAGCTCAAATAGGGAGACCCGAGACCTCCCATTTGGGTGCTGGAAGAAAGGAAATCGAAGAGACCAGTCGACCCAGACCGGTGGTGGATCTCCCTATTGAAATACACACCCATGTGCGATTCACGTCAAACGAAATCATCGCTCTAAAGTTCAAAACAATTTAAAAAAAAAAAAAAAAAACTCAGGGAGAAGAGAGGTGACCGCAGTTCTCCTTAGTCTTGTGATGTCTTTGTGTGTGCGTGTGTGTGCGCCTATAATTCTAGCAATGTCAACCCTTTTGTATCCTTTTGTCTCATATTGAACAACCGGAATACTCCCCATCTTAAGAGGACGAAGCCATATCAACCCACTTCTTCTAGCTTCGCGCTCGGATACACGTGAAGCAAGGACCAACTCACCGGAACCCAGCCATGAGCATCCGAAAACTCCTCCTTCTCGGCATCCCAACAACACGCTTGGAGTTCCAGTGGTACTTCATCAGCATCCCCCACGGGCACCCCCTTCGGCCACGAGAGAAGCACAGCTCTTCCCCGCCAACGGCCCGTGGCATCTAGCTCTTCAGGCACGGCAAGCAGATGGGGCACGGGCAAATCCCAGGATTCCGCCGCCAGGCAAGCCGTGCCCGCCGCGGAAACCGCCGCGCCGCCGGAAACGCCGCTCCAGCTGGGCCAGACGAGGACCTCGCTCCGGGCGAGCTCCTCGAAGCAGGGTGTGCCCAGGGTGTGGCGCTGAGTTCGAGCAAGCAGTCTGAATTGCAAGGATGCTCCAGGGCGAACACGTCCGATGTCAATGTCCAGCTCAATGCCTCACATGAAAGAGCATCCCTCATTTCAGGGCGGGAAAATCATGCTGTAGACTAGACTGTAGACCTCAGGTTACAAGACCATCTGCAAACGGGCAAGGGATCCTGGCTTCGACCCAAATGTCAAGATGATTCAAAATGGAGGTCCTACTTGGTGCCTGCATGGCGGTCCCACCATAATCAATGTCTCGCCCAATCCGATCCGTACGCCTTCACGGTCCAGGCCATCCTCGGCCCACAAAGCCATCAGCTGGCCGGTAGATTTCACCTGGACTTGGGGGGGGGCGCAGGAAGAACAAGGAATTCTCTGGTTGGTGCCCCCTGCAAGACCTGTGAGGAAAGCCAAAAGAACTTACAGTATATAAAACATCCTGGGACCCCAACGGGTAGGGGATCTCCCTATCCCAATTAGGCCGCCTACTTGATGGCAAGTGGCCTTGGCTCTTCAGTTGATGAAAAATTCTGACACATCATGTCAGCACATTCGGAGCAATTCACGAACATCTGGGATGCACTGTACCGCCCCCCAAATGGCACTTGGGTGGGTCTTGCCAGCTGGCAACCTTTCAGCTGGGCCGGGTCGAAGCACGGCGATGATGGTCGATTTCAATCAAATCCTCTACTGTTCAGATCATCAAAGGTGTCCCTGCCAACGGCGGCCGAAACAAGCAATGGCCCGTGTCCATGTGTTCATTCAAGTCCCACCAGGTATCCACTGTGGAGTCTGTAAACCAACTCTCCAAACCAGGCACGACCCTCGGATCCGGCGACGGCTTCCCGCTACAGAGGAATCCCGATCGATGAGGCCAGGTGACTTCCCGCCCGGTGGCTCCAAATTGGACCATGCTCACCATGTACTCGACACCTGCGAGAGCGACACCTTACAGCGTCAAGTATAGTTGCAAAACAAAAATGTGTGTATAATATGTATATATACTGTATATATGTGATATATGTATATATACAAATACACACTCCCTGAAATGATCATGGAAGATCATGGAAGTATGAAAACCATGGAAACCCCACCTGTTTCGGAAAACGGTCGTTTTGTACCGGGCGACCGTTAGACTTCCATGATGATTTCAGGAAGTCAAGGACTAAGGACTGGCAGGACGGACTTCTTTCCCGCCCCGAAAGGCGAAGCTCAGAGCCGCACAGGACGACCATTGCAGTCCCACCCGCTCCTGCGCGTCGCGGGAAGCGAGAGAAGCGCAAGCGCGCAAGCGCGCAAGCGCTTCGTGGTCTTGGAGTTGAGGAAATCCTTTGAAAATGAAACTAGTAAGGCCAGGAGTAAGGCCAGGAGCTACTATTAGCGTCCTTGTCCTAGTGATAAGGTCAGGAGCCCCTAATAGCTTCTTGTTACTAGTAGCTTCGTGGCCTCCAACCTACTTGCGATGGCCTCCACCTAATAGCGTCCTTGCTACTAGCCATTGTTCAACTTTTCCACCACACCCAAGTCTCTCTGCATCTCTCTGCAAAAGGGTACAGTATATGCGCTTGCCAAGATCAAGATCCACTCAGAACTCAGTGCGTGGCTGGAGACAGAGGCTTCGCAATGAGTCCCGTGGAGACAGGTGCTGCTCGAAGAACTGCATGTTTCATCTCAGAGACATGTACATCCCACAACACCATAAGCCGCAAGAGTTCTCTCTCTTATTCGGGTGTGCCAAGTAGTATCTAGCATCAACATGCATCAACTCTGCATCCCGAATTCCTCAGAACCATCGTTTCAACAGCAAGTTGCCAAGAGTATGTCATGAGATGTCATGAGTATGCTTGCTTCAACTACGCCCTCTCAACTAGAAAGTACTCTCCCTCCCTGGGAGGGAAGTTGCGATGCAGTGTTCGATGGTGTCACTCTGAGGAGTGGACATGTACAGGCTTGCTGAAGGAACTCCATGCCGACCATCGGTATTCATCACCGATCCGCACCGCAAAGAGAAGCCGCTGACCCTCCCAGAACCGCGGCTGCGTGGCAGGGATCATCACGAGTTCTCCACCTGACGGCACCGAGTTCTCAGCTGAAGCCGAAAGGTCGCTCCGGCTTTGAAGCCTCAGCTCGCGGGGCTTCATCTCCACCACTTCCTCATCAGCATCTCCTGCCCGTCGGTAGCAGATCTGCACTCTTCTGGCCAAGCAGTGACCGTGCCCCAGCGCCACCGGCCCTGCAGGCTCTGTGGGTCCTGGCACGCTACTGGGGCCGCCCAGAGCGAAGGTGATGGCCACTGCCAAGTGAGGTTCACTCACCAGGAGCGTGGCTTTGGGCTTCTCCGGAACAGCAAAGGCTGTGGCAAAAGGTCCAGAGATGGGGGAAAACCACCCACGACTGCTCCGCTGCATCGAAGGCGCCGCAGCTCGGACCCGAAGTTCGACCCCTTCGGGTGGGCTCGGGCCACAGTCCCAAATGAACTGCTCTACCTTCAGACCCTGCGAGTCCTTGGGTTCCGTCGAGCCAGCGGGCCTCTCTTGCCCATCTTCCTGGCCCAAGGCTTTCAGCGCGGCAGCTTGCCATGTCTCGCCAGGCCAGGCTCGCCATTCCACAACGTAGCTCGAGCTGCTCACATGGGAATCCACCTGGCCAGCGAGGGCATTTTGGGGGTTCCATCCACAACTTCCAATGGGCCTCGATCCAAAACTCGAAGCTGTATGGGGAACGGCGGTCGGCTCCTCCATAGAGAGGAGGAGGTGCCTTAGGCCGCTCGCACGCCATCGCCAACCAAAAGATTGTCTTTTTTGAAAGTACCAATTCAACAAGCGTGTGATGAACGTTGCTTACTTGTTCATGTCACAATGTGTCTTTCAAGAGGCCCATTGTTTTTAAATGATGTTTGCTCCTTTGATTTCCACTGATGTCCAGTCTTTCAGTCTTTTCGACCATGTCATCTTGCTTCAGCCTGTCTCCGTGCGCCCCCACGACCTGCTTCACGGCCTGCGGCGGCTCGAAGTCCCGTCCATCCACACCTCCGGCGGCGCGTCGAGGCCGCGTCGATCGGCGATCCGGCGACGGACGTCTGGACGGCTGCTGAGGTGGCCGCCCTTCAAGCGCAAGCTGGCCTGGACCAGAGTCGACCCACGGACTCCGCGGCTTGGTCGGGGAGGAGCCCCAGTAGACCAGGTTTGTGACCCGTGACCACCAGATCATCACGGGGTTTGGGTTCTTGATGGGGATGCGCAAAAGAAACACTGGGGTGTTGCATGGTGTCGCTTTGTTTGGGGGAGTTCAAGGGAGGTGAGACAGTTGTCCCTTCAACATGGCAAATATGAACTGATGCAACATTTGGGATGAACATCAGTATCCTTCTACCTACTGTGGGGACCGTGAAAGTCTTGATGGATGGGACCTGTTTCTCTTTCACGGTCATCCTGGGCCTCGCACATTGAGACATCTCATAAAGGTTCAGGATGATGTTGACTGTTGATGAATATGTAATAAATTGTAAACATAAATAAACCCCCTCTACCAGCAATTGTTTTACAATGTTTTACATATATCATCAATATATCTGTTCTCGTGTTCATCCTCAGTGGCCAACCCTGAACATCAGACAGCTTAGATCAGTTTAGACCATGTTCTTCGGCCTGAAAACCCAGTCCCAACCAGAAAAACACAGAGACAACCACTTGTTCTGCAAAGGATCTCAATTGAAATTGCCCTGTGGGAACAGCCTGTGGTTCCAGCGTCTTCTCCCTTCGGCCACGCCTTCAAGACCGGTGAGGCAGCTCCTGCTTCTTCCGCGTCCTCCAGATGTAGGCTAAACGAACCACGTTCGCAAGAAACAATACTTTTATGCGCTCAGTGGCAAAGGACATATGAAATCCTGCCAAGACCTAGTCTTGCAATCCTAGTCAACCACTCAAAATACATCTGAAAAGGTGCGCCAAAACCGGTCTACAAGACGTCATGTATAAGGTACCACACCCATTTCGGTGCTTTGGTCGTGGCTCACTTGGGGTTCAATCATTTCCTCATCAGGCACCAGCCACTTGTTCGAACTTCCAGCTTTAGCTGGCTGCCTCAGGTCTTGTGAAGCTGAAAAGTTGGACTTCCTCAAAGACTCTAGAACTCGACCATCGATGTCACGATGTCTTTTTGCGCGCGAATTGATCTCATCAAATCTCGATTTCTTCGACCTGCTCACTCGTAATGCGAGGAAGTCGGACCGAGGCGTCCGTGCCAAATCCTGCGCATCCGCCGCCGCCGAGACGGCCATGCCGAAGGACCCGCGGGATCTGGAGGCATCACTGATGGTCTTAGGGTTGAATCATGTTGAATCGAAGATCTTTGGAAGACCAAGAAGCTACTAGGGGCGCTCCTGGCCATACTACTAGCAGCAAGAAGCTACTAGTAGCAAAGGGCTTCAGAATTCACATTACAAAACACGTAAAACATCGAACCAGATCTTTCGAGGACGTGGGTCGAGTCTAGAACGTAGGGACATGAACATAGGGTAAAAAGTCGACAAAATGGTGGTACATGTCTCGTGGCATAGCACCTGTTTGTTGCAATGTCACCATCTTCCTCCGCGATGGACATGACTCTACCATTCTACCTGGACCTAAACAAAACGCTGAGATTGAAATGCATCAATTCGGGCCTACTGCCCAAGCCAGTCCAGTTCACGTTCGGTGCTCCTGGATAGGTGTTGATCTGTAGCTGACCTCCCAAATATCGAGCGTGCAGCCTTGACAACGGAAGGCCTCACTCCACATCAGCTGAGGTGAATCCGATGCGCAGGTGCCCCCCATGCCGGTTCAACCCAGCGCCAACACCCACAGACCATGTGAAAGAGGGTTTGTCTTGATTTTCCTGGTGTTGGACGCACCACCGCTGATGTCACTTGTTTGCTGTCAAGCAGCCGACGCCGTAGCCCGACAAGGGGGTCGCAGAGCAATCATCCGAGCCGCGCGCAGCGGCTCCGTACAAGTAGGACCTGAGGGAGGAAGAGTCCAAAATGGAATGCGTTGGAGGCTCGAAGGCGTAGATCAACACCAACTCAAAGAAAACGGGACGAAGATCATACCAATACAAAGATCTATTCATTGAATGTTATTGTTCCATAGGCAGTCATAAACACTACAGTACACCAATGGGAGGTTTGATTGGTGCCTTATGCAACCAAAAATAGATGTTTCACATCAACATCACATGATCATCTGGCCAGGACATGTTCAGAACACACCTATGAATCCCTATCTAAATCTATCATAATCTGTCATCATCTATCTCACTTCAGTCTACCTACCTATTTCATGTCTCACCGTGGGATCCATCCATCCCACCCGTCCCCCCGGCCCAGGCACCAAATGCGCTCCCCCACATGTGATGGGATCCCTCCGGCACGGTCGCTCACGCGGATGGCCACATGGCACTCGTCCCGACCTGGGATGGCACCGATGGGGGGACGTGCCATGCCATCCCCGGTTGGAACCAATCCTTTAAATGATTGTGGGTTCGTGGGCCCAAACTGGTGTGCTGTTTGGATCCGAAAAACCGAAAACCCAGCGAACTTTCCATGGGACTTTCTCCTAAAAAAGGCAAGCCAACTGGTCTGAGTCGCCGGCAGATCAAGATGTGAATGGGTCGCTCTGCAATCTCTGCAGCTGTCGCTCCCATCAAGGTTGCCTTGAAGCTGTTCTTCAGCAACTCAACCATGATGTAGCGCAAATAGCCAGGAATGTAGCCTCGAATCAGCTTGATCAGTCTTTTCTTCTACAAGCTTCGAGATTTTCAGATTTTTCAGCACCCACACTACAGGACATAATGGGGCATCCACATCAGTTAGCACATAGGTGGTTTGGGTCCAGCTGGATTTGATTGGATTCTCAATTCTCACAGCCTCCTTGCATAGCTTCAAACTCCATAAGGTTTCGCAGCCACCAAACCCATCAACCTGACCACCAAGTTCTGGTCCAAAATATCGCTCAAGGCCTATCATTGTGCCGGTGTCCGCTTCTGAATCACTCGGAGCAGCTGAAGTAGCACGGTGAGTCAGCTTGGCACGCACCCTTCCCTGCCTGGGCAAAATGAAGGGGACAAATGGCGGTGGTTTGTGTGTCACTTGGTCCTTTCGGGGAGAGAGCGATCCGTTGGTTTTGAGCGGGAGAAAGCAACCCATCAGAGCGCGGGTTGATCTCTTTTCGCGAGAAGAATGTGGAACCTGCGGAGCAAAGTGCCCAAGATCACCCGGCTCGTATATCAACTGCTGAAGAATCCGGCCACTGACTGTACTGCTCCGCAAGAAAGGCAATCCCGCAAGTGTCCCACAGGGCGCCTCATAGTTGTCATAGAGGACCACGGGAAGCTGGCCAGTGTGCATTTGGCCTCACGAAAGGTCAATCTGCTCATGGGTGCTCAAAGATTGCACGACGGTTTTTCCAAAACAATAAAAGAACATAAAGCAGAAGCATCTAAATTGGTTGGACACCAAGTAAATTTAACCCCCTTGCGTGGACCGCGTGTTGAGGAATTCCAAAACCGCTTCTTTGGGATTCTCGTTTGGAGAGGCAGTGGTGCTCGGGGTGGCAAAAGAAAACCAAGCACAACTAGTGCCATCATTTTGGGGTGCCAATCAGTTCTTCACCCAACCCACGATCACCAGATCTTTGGCCAAATCTCCAGCGTTTCTCACCCTAAGGGCCCTAAATCACTGGCCGTCTTTTTGCGGATCTCCAGTGCATCTGGGTGGCAAATGCGCGACGCATAGTCAGCAGCTTGTTTGCAAAGGGCCACCGCATCGCAACGCGGCGAGATAATCCCCGTCTTCCTTGCCAGACCACCTGGCCCAGGGGCCCAGTCTTCGGCCCGCTGGAACAACAGTGGTAAAGGCACGAGAAGAGGTTCAAAGGAGCAACCACAAGGCACAGCCGCGTCTGAGGTTCAGATATCGGACACACACCACAGCCGATGACCGCCATGATCGCGTGAGGCACCAAGGTTGGATAGGATATGAAAGCAAGATTACAGCGTTCGTAGGAACCCTGTGGCTTTTGCCATTAGTCATGCAGTGGCCAAGTCACAAGTCCAAAAAACTGGGTTCTTTAATGTTTTCGGGAGCCCGCATGAACAGCCATATGTCACTTTATACAGTGCCAACAGGGGACTCGAACCACAAGTCCGAATTCCAAATTCAAGGGATCGAAAAGCAATGCTCTTTTTGAGAAAGTCTTAACAACAACACTAAACAAAGAGACACCAAGCCGTTTAGACACAGCTCCCTCGTGGAGCTGTGGTGCTATCAGCCAAAAAGGTCAACACCATTCGGTACGTCATTCCCCCCCCACCCCACACGAACCAAGGATGATGGGGGTTTCAAAACGTACAAAACGATAAAAAATATAACTAAAACCCAAAGGGTTCCTAATGTCGCCGTTAGCAAAACAAGGAGCACCCCCTTGACTGCTTGCCTGCTTGCATATGAAGCGAACCCCTTTCAGTTCTAAAACCCAACGGGCTTGGGTTTTGGCTCATTAATACCTTCAACTACTTGCTCTTGAGGGCAACCGACAGCCTTTGGCTTAGCTTTTGTTTGTTAATCTTAATTCACCGCACATGCCTGCTTCTTTGGGCGCCCGGGCAAAGTACCTGAGGAAATGCCGAAATCGAAACCAAAGGTCGAACGATCACACTCTTTCATGTTTGACTTTCAGTTGATTGGGAAGGTTGCAAATACGGAACCCCGGACCCCTGCAATCCAAAATGGGTATGTGTCCTCTAGACTCTGGGGAATACGGAAGTGGCCATCAAACCTTGAGAGAAGTGAGCCCTTTATAGCTTGTCTTCCTTTCTTCCTTTCGTCCTCCCTTCCTCCTGTCTTCCTATCGAACGCGTGTTTTGAGAAGGAACTCATCCAACGTTTTCCAGCTCAAGAATTCAAGACCCACTCCACCGTGAACTCAGCATGCACATCTTTGAGCTCTCAAAGTGCTGGGTTCTGTGAGCGACACGAACGCACTGAAGAACGCGCCCATTGGGGGTCAGTTGCCATAGTACGATGCTGCTATAGTTGATGGTTTCTGAGTTGCATCTTTGGGGCCTCTCCAGTTGCTTCTTTCGGTGGGAAGTGGGCAGGAATTGTTACGGCCGTAGCGATGCACTTGTTACGGCAGGAATTCGTTGGTTCCCTTGCTACTTGTGGTTCAAGGATTTAATTGGTTGCCAGACATTTTCGGGAGATCATTGATTCAGATCATTGATTCAAAGGAATTACTCCAACAATGATGGTGTCTTTCTTTTCTGTTCTCTTCCGTTCTCTTTCCTCTTCTCCTTTCCTTTCCCTGATCCTTGCCTTTCCCATCCTCTCTTCCCTGCCATGCTTTTTTGGTCATTGTGTCCTTGTTATCATTCCTAAGACTCCTGTCCTTTCCTGTCTTGACAAAGAACAAATCTGCCACAAAATATAACTTATAACCAAACACGATACCATAGAGAACTGCAGGTAAGCTGCTGATCCAGGAGCATGTTGCTCCCGATACGGGACAGTAAGAATCCATCAAGGAAATGATCCAGAAAGTCATCGGTGTATGCTTCATCATCAGCGCATTGGCTGTTGGCACGTTGAAGCTTGAAAATACCTCAGACCAAAAATAGCCCACGGACAACACCATGGGGTCACTCGTGACTCACTTCAGGCGAAAGACTCTGAAGCGAGTAATCAAGCTAAAGATCTGAGATCCTGGCCCAATGCAACTAGTCCGACCTCCGTGCGGCAGACTCCATTCGTTCAACAGGCTGGCAAGCGC